CCTCAGAGGCCCCTCACCTACCTGAGGGAGCAGACGGTGTGGACAGGGCTCCGGAACAGAGAAAGGCAGCCTCCAGTCTGGAAATCCCATAGGCGTAGCATGCTGGGGGTCTGTGCCTGGGCTGAGGCCAGAAGAGAGTTGTTTCCATCCAGTGCCAGGGCAGAGACCTGGGGAGGAGGCAGGTTAAGAAAAGTTGTGTAGTCTATAGGCACGAGCCACATCTGGGCTGGGTGGTACTCACCTTGTCTGTGTGGCCGAGGAAGAAGCGCTGCTCGAAGGAGTCAATGTGCAGGACCACGATGACTGCATGGCAGGGGTACACGACAGCAGACCCATCCTTGGTCCACAGGGCCTATGCATGGGGGCCGGGGACTAGAGTCATGGGCTGGCCTTGACCCGCTACTGTGAAAAACTCTTCCCCATGTAAAGTGCACAGAAGTCAATGGGATACACACATCAAAAGAACAGAGAAAACTTGCAGACACATGAACACTTGCGTATGCACAAGCACATGCAGAGCCATCTCTAAGCCTTGTCTTTGATACAAGAAACTTTGGGGTTCAGACAATAAAAGACCAAAGAGCCCACAAAGACTTAGAGCCTACGTCCAGGAGGGCCTAACAACCCAGGGCCTCCTCTCTCACTGCCCCCTACACTCTACGGGGACCCATAAGTAGTACACACACCAGCTCTGCATGGCTGCATCAAAGCTTTTAAGGGTGAGAGTTTGTGGGTCTCTGGAAGCTCAAACGCTCGGACCAGCACTGACCCAGCCAGCATGCGAGAGAACAAAAGGAAACCTGAGAGGGCAGGTCACTGAGGAAGCACTGAGCCACACTGGAGATGTGGGTGGGGACCAGATGTTCATGCAGCAATCTCAGGGGATATAGGGCCTTGCCAATGTCCACCCATGTATGTGACACTCATTCAACCCAATGAGAGCATGGGACCCCTCACCCATTTGGTGCTGTGGCCCCCAAAGCCGATGACCCCTTTAAGCCTCAAGACAGGATCTGGCAGGAAGCTCTGAAACAGGTAAACTCACAGTGAGACTCCAGAGGCAAGACCCCATCCCACCAGGGCTTCCCTACTGGGCTGGTTCCTGCCTCCTGAGAAGTCAGCTGGTCCTGAGTGGCTTCTGTTGCCTGCTGTGTCAAGAAGCCAGGATTCTAGCCGCAGTGTCAGATCCTCCAAGCACCCCAGGTGCTGCCACTGCCTTTGGTCTGAGGCTCCCACAGACCACCTCGGGGCTGGGAGTTGGTGCCTGGGCACCAGTCCCTCCTTATTCTGTTGTTTTTCCCCACCCCTTATTCTTTGTTCAAAGGGATTCTTGCCCAAAGCCTCCTCCTGACCACTCTACTTTCTGCCACTGGGCTGAATGAGAAGGGCCCTCAAGGGCCTATATGCCCCACATTCAGCTTGTCGGGGGCATGGGCCCAACGGTCCCAGCCCCACCCACCACTATGAGAGGATCCACCCCTGCTTTCCTTGGGACAGGCACTTACCTCATTCACGGCCACATCTTCCAGATCTGTGGCCACTACAGCCAACTTACGGACAGACACCTGAAGGCCGTTGCCAGTAGCATGCTTATCAGTGGCATCCGCGCATGCTGAGGGCTCTTGCCTATGGCCATTGGGGCCGCTCACGCCAGAGACCTCTGAATGCTCACAGGACAGGCTTTCCTCTGGAAGGGGCCCAGGTGCCGAGGGGGCCCGGTAGGACTGTAGGGGGACAGTGTCCATCAGACCCTGGGGCTATCATCAGACCCTGGGGCTACCCAAGCTCTATCTCTGAGAGCATAGGCACTCACGGCTGTGGGACCAAGCATCTGGACCTCAGGGGACACTCTGTCTTGTCTGGGCTTGCTGAAGGTCACCAAGTGAGGGAGAAGCTGTGGTACATGCCTCGGGAAGACTGCAATGAAGCAAAGGGCCGCAGAACCCATTGAGCAAAGTGCAGAGGCCTGAAGAGGAGGTGGCCGAAGGCACCGGGCAGGGCAGCAGTGAGAAGCCACCCTGATAGCTGCAGCCCACTACTGTACCTGGGCCCCAGCACCCCTCCCAGCTCGAGAGCTTGGGGCCACCAGGCACCCTAAACACAGCCTCCCAAACAGCTCTGGAACGTCAGGGTGACCTCCAGGCTAGCCCCAGCCCTGCAGGCACTGTACCACCCCAGAAAGAACCAGGCCCCTCTCCCACCAAGACTGTGCACGCCACAAGCCCACCTGCCTTAGGAGGAAAATAGCTCTTCTGAACTGGCTCAGAGGATGCTGCTGAACTGTTGCTTGGAAACCTCGGTGGGGTAGAGGGAGAGTCAGCGTTAGGGCAACCCTGCCCTCCTCTACCAGCCTCCCTGAGACAAATGGAGCTGCTCACCGGATATGGACATAGCGGTCATGCCAGCTCTCCCCCTTTGGCACTGGGAATGCCATTTCTCTTGGCACGGGAGTGACAGGCAGCCTTGCTTGCCGGGCCTCGGTAACAGTGACAGCTAAAAAGAGCAGAGTTGCCCCAAGTCTAGAAAAGCCCTCACAGCTCCCTCTCCCGGCCCAGGTGAGATTCGGCACCAGGTGCCTTCAGGGTATTGCCATCTGCCCAACCACTACCTCCCGCCACAAGTATTTCAGGAGCTAGAGGCTCAAAGATGGCACAGCCTGGGCATCTTCATCAAGTGCCAGGGCCCCTCCTGGGCAGAGAACTTGGAGGAAGGAATGGAGTTGGAGTAGCCCACCTGTAGGCTAAGCACAGGGCGTGGGGTAAAGCCCTCACCTGGGTCGAAGCACAGATCGCTGGTGTAGAGGCTCCGAACAAGCAGACTGGAACACAGCCGGACTCTCTTGAGATGGCTGTAGCGAAGATTCAAGTAGACCAGGAGGATGTCGTGCAGGTCCAGCTGCAGGAAGGTCCAGTGGGCACCAGGGGGAGCCACACCTGCCAGGTCTGCAGGAGGCAAGCCAAGGTCAGCAACCACCCTCTTACTAGCCAGCTTTCTGTTCTTGGCCTGCGCCCATTTCCATGGCCAAAACGATGCACCCCCAACCTGGGATGGTCACCCACAGGCCACGAAGGAGCCTGACTGTGCCTACCCCACCTCCCTCTCTGCCTTCAGACTGCCTCCCCTGGACAGTCCATGTCCCATTCTTGCCCCATCTCTGTGTCACCTTTCCTGGACATCCCAGCCTCACAGATGAAGGGGAATTGAAGCCATGTAGCTGTGGACTTGAACTCCTTGAAAAGGTTAGAAAGGGACACGCGGATGACCTGGCCGTCCTGCAGGGACAAAGCATGGCCATGAGAAGACAAGAGGGGGCAGCAGGGGTGCAGAACCCCCACGCACAGTCCCCACTCCTGAATTCTGTACCTTGGTGGACAAGTCCAGGTGGATGATGAAATGCTTGGTGGACAGGGGTCGGAAAAGCACGTACAAGTATCGTCCAGTCAGCCCCAGGGACTGGGTGCTAGTTTTGGGGAGCTGGATGTAATTGCTGGCAGAGACAGAACCCCGTATACGATACACTGTGCACTTTAGGGTCTTGTCCTGGACAAAAAGACGAGAGTCAGTGTATCTCACAGACCTTGGAGCACCAGGAGGGTTGCAGCCCACGAGACCCTCGGGAGGTGGGGCAAAGTATCCCAGGCAGAGAAGAGGGCCTCCCTTCCTGTGGTCAGGTCTCCTGGCCCACATACCATCACAGTCGCCACATCGCCCTCCTTAGTGGACCGCTTCCATTCGTCCACCTTGAAGTGTCTGAAGACGTTGAGAAATGGGTGTTCCCACACTGGGGGAATATGGAGGCGTGAGGACCTGACCCCAGGTGCCAGACCCAGGGTGGGGCTTCGCACCCCCTAAGGAGGGGCCGGGGACTGGGTCTGCGCGCCCTCCAGTGGTTACAGCAATCACAGCATGCGGACTAGGCTCGGGGCAAGTCTTGGCATCAAACTGCCCATGGGCCTACGACGCGGGACTGTTGGAGCCAGGCCGTAGGCTCAGTGTGCTCCAGACGCCGGACCCCGCGCTCGTCCCCGACCCTGCCAGCCGCGTGCCCCTCAGACTCCCAGCCCCGGACCCGGGTCCCGGTCCGCCAGCTAGAGGCTTACCTCGCGCCATGGCGCCGCTACTCGCACTTCCCGCCTCCGCCGCCGCGCGCCTCACGCAGGGCACGCAGCGCGCGCCTAGCAACGGCCGCCTGGCAACGGCGCCACTTCCGTCTTTACAGCGGCTGGGCCACGTGATCTCGGGGCGGGGCGGCAACTCGCACCTCACCCTGAGGTTCTCCCACTAGCTGTCTACAGCCCCTTAGGAGGCCCCTAAGACCCTGTCTGGCCTGCTCAGGGCACTCGTCCGCAGTCGCGCCCTGGGTCAGGAGACTTCGTTCCCAGGCCTCTCTGTGGCCACTCCCAAGCAGGGAACGTGTAAGGGCCTGTAGCATGACCAGCTAGATCGTGGAGTTCCTAACTTTTTCTGGGGCTCATCTGTATATCAGAAATGAGATGCACGCACAAGGGCCATCCACACTCACTGACAGCCCAGTCCTCTGAAGATAGCGTGCACACTGGGGGTACTCCGCTTCATCCTGTCAGCTACAAGTGAGGTCACCCACCCAACAGGCTAAGCAGTATCCCCCAGGGCTCCCTCCAAACCTGTGAGGCACCTTCACCCACTGTCTCACAGGCAGTCCTGAGACCTGGCCCCAATTCTGGGAGGCTGGGACCTGCATCTCAGCGCCAGTTATATAACATCTCTGGGCCTCCAGGCAGGGCTCAGGAACTTGCCAACACCAACAGGGAAAGGAGGGGTGGGGAGTAGGTGTCAATGTGGGACGGAGTTCAAAGGAAGATGAGATGGCCTTGGCACCTCTGTCAGGACACAGGAGAGCAGCTGGGTAAAGCGATGAAGGCCAGCACTGCAATGTGGAAAGACAGGGCTACAAAGGAGATTGGCCTGGGAAGTGAGGATCCTTCTACCTCTCATGTACCAAGTAAAGGCCATTCCGAAAAGGCAGTTTCTCAACTTTATTCGGCTGGAGTTCTGCCCTGCCAGCCCCAGGGGCTGGTCCCTGGGCACAGTGAGCAAGATTGAGGTCAGACACGGTCAGCCCCTGGCCCCTGACAGCCTGGGACAGCTGGGCCAAGGTGTCAACAGGTGCAAAAGTCCAAACGCTGGCACTTCAGGTGTGGCTGGCATCCAGCCAGGCCCAGGGTGAAGCACAGCCTGCCGCAGCACATACAGGGTGCCATGGTCCTCTCCTAGCAGAAGGTCCGCCACGGGGCAGGGCTAGGCCCTGTGGAGGCAGCATTCCTTCTGAGGCAGCAGCTATGAGCAATTAGTGATTCTGGCCAGGAACTGCTGCGCCCACCACTCGTCCAGGTCGATGGGCACAAAGTCTGTGGACAGAGCAGAAGGCTGGGCACTGGTACGGCCTCCCGGACCTGTCAGCATCTCTCCCCTCAAGCTGACCACAAGACCCTCACCCGGACCCCAAATGTAGCAGGCAACTGGGAAGACATGGGTCAGGTTCCAGTCCCTTCCCATATTCCCTGGGGCTAGAACCTGGCAGGGCCCAGATTAGGGTGGGAGGGACTGGAGGGGAGTTCCTGTGGGGGAGGGCTCACTCTGCAGTCGGGGGTTCGGGGTCCTCTCCACGTACTGCACAGGCCTCGGACCGCTCTCACCGGCTGGGCCACCACCCAGCTGCTGCTCCACTTGTTGCCAGGCTGTAGAGAAAGGGCAGTCAGTCTGAGCCTGGCACCCTGTTTCCCTAGGGCCTGGTGGCCACTCTGGACCCCAGCCCAGAAGTAGGAATGGGCAGTCCGCTGGATGGTCACAAGACAAACAGGCAAAGAGCCCAGGAAGAGCCCAGCCCTCTGGCAGCTTCGAGTCAGGTTACAGTGGGGAAGACCAGTGGCCCAGGTCGCACACTTAAGCCTCCACACTACCTTCGGACACAAAGCGGACATTCTCCTCGTGGGCCAGCGTGTAGGTCTCCTGGGTCCCCTCGATGGATGGGGATGTGGTGGGGGGCCGCCGGCCATTCACCCGATTGAACACAAGCCTTGGCCCCGGACTGCGGAAAGGGGAGGAGATGGTTGGTAACTGTTCCAAGCCCAGGTGCTGCCTGGCAGAGTTCTAGGAGCAGCCTCAGGCCACACCAACCACCCCCCCAAGCTAGATGGTCCTGACCAGGCCCAGCCTCAGTACTTCCCTGAACCTCAGGGCAGCTGCGTGCGGCATCAAGTGGTCAAGGCCTCTCTTCTGCAGGCCCAAGCCCCCAGCAGCTCAGCTCACACCTGCAGCCCCAGGCCCTGAGGCACGCCTGTGACTTCTGGCCAGTGGGGTCCCCAGTTGTCTGTACCCAAGGTCTCCAGCAAGAATCCATGCTCAAGGCAGGAAGGCGCCCCTCCAAGGTTCTCTCAGGCATCCCCCCGCCACCCACTTCCCCTGGACTGGCCAGGCCTCCAACAGCCCAGGTTCTAACTGGAGCCATGACCAGGTCACTCTGTCCCAACCCCACCCTCCAGGCGCAGTTCTTGGCTATATTCTCCCCACAGAAGCCTCTCCATCTTGCCGACGGCTCAGTGTGGGAAGGACCCAAAAAAGAGCCCAGTGGTCTCTGCTCCAGGTCCCACGGGATGGTACCCAGTGTCGGGTGGGCCATCCTACATGGGGAGGGAGTGACTGCAACCCCGGCCCATCTTTGCAGGCCCAGGCGAGGGCAACGCTCTTGCTGATGGGGGTGGGAATGCTGAGGAGATGGACACCAGGTGCTGGAGCTCAGCCTAGTAAGTATGCTGTATCGAGAGGGCCACTGGGCCCATCCCAGCCAGCTGGGCCCAGGGCAGTAATGGGCCGTGGAGGGAGCAGGGCCGCACCTACAGCAGGAGGTGGGAGCCGGGAGTCCTGGGCTGCACGTGCCACTCCGCCAGGCACTCGCCTGCTCGCAATCCTGGGCTCAGGTGCCCCACCGCCGCTCGGACTTCCTCCTCGGCCGAGAAGGGAACTAAAATAAAGAGGAGCGTCTTGAGGGGCACCGGTCCCGCCAGCTCTGGGCCACAGGGAAACTAGAGGGGCAGGGCTCTTCCCAGTCTGAGCTTCACAAACCAAAAGATATGACTCGGACAGCCCCTCACCTGCCACACCTCCACCCCGCATCCCGCCGCAAGACTGCAAGCTCCAGGAAAGTTGCAGGCTGGACATCGAAGAAGGAAAGAAAGAAGGGAATTGTAGCCCAGGGCTGTGGATCATAGGGACCAAGGTGGTGGCTGGCAGCTGCCTGCCCCGCCAGCCTGGCTGTCCCCTGCCAACAGTACTGTGGTTACATAAGGGGGCTTCATAGGCCCTCTGGGGGAAAGGGCACAGGCTGCCATGTGCTGCGTTCCTGTGGATAAAGGCCACCTTGTACCCGCTTCCCAGGGATGCTGCCCACAGCCAAGCTCCAGTCCATAGTACCAGAGTCCCTGCTCAGAGCCCATAGGGGCATCCTCTCACCTGATCCCCTCCATTACCCTAATGTAGACCCCGCACCATTTCTCAGCCCAGGAACCTGGGTTCAAGAGGAAAGTGACTTGTCCAAAGTCACAAGCTGTGAGTGGGTAGTAGTATCAGGATTTGACTCCATATCTGTCTGGCTCCAAAGCCCACAGCTCAGTACAGCTCCCAGGCACCTCCCCTACCCACCTGTGTGTCTGTCTGCCCCTGCATATCTGGTGGTCACATCACCCCATTTTATCTTCTCCCCAATGGTTGATAATACCTCTATTGATCTTATCCTGTCTCCTGTCTGTCTCTGGCTGGGAGGGAGAGCTTGTCAGAGACATAGACACATGTGGCCTATTTACCACCACAGGCAGTGCCCAGACCCATACCTGGCCAGAACCCAAGCCCCTCTGTTATACAAGGGGGTCAGACACTGAGCATCTGTGGAGCACCAGGCATGCAGCCTACAGCACTGACCCAGACACTCCCTTTCTCCTGGGCAAGTTGGGGTCAGGGATATGGGGTGGTGAAAAGGCATTGCAGAAAAAAACAGCAGAGAAGGTGGACAGGAAGTCTCGGTGGAGCTACTTTAGAGGGTGGGCCCCTGAGAAGATGTGGGAGCAGGAGTAGGTGCTCCTCCAGGTGGAGGACAGCTGGCTACTCTGGCCTACCAGTAGGGGCCCTTCAAGGCCACAGGGACTGGGAGGGGGCGGCTCAAGGAAGGGGGAGTGACCAAGGAGGGAAGGGAAGCCGGCACAGCTAGCACATGATCTGCCTGCTCAGCACTCTTCTGCACCCAGCAGGACATAGTGTCATCTTGTGTGGCCAGCCCTGCTCCCTCAGGCCAGGCTTGTCAGCACCCCACTGACCCTGGACCTGGCAAGCCGCAGTGTGCCTAGCTGGCTCAGGGCATGCTGAAGACAGAGGTAAGGCCTCCTAGGTGTTTTAAGGGCTCCGTACTATCTTTCCTATGTCTTTCCACAACACCCTCAACCCTGCCACAGATGCACCTTGCCTTCCCCAGCAATGGGTCCATGGAGAGGAAGGTGATAAGTTTCTCCAAGTAAGAGAATGGGGAGCACTCAGGGCCACTCTAGCCCCAAGCCCCCTGACTGGGTGACCAGTAGTAGCTACACACCTTTGCCTCGTTTCTGAGGTAAGGCAGCTGTGAAGTGCAAGGACCAGGTGACGAGGCACTGTCACAGCACAGCCTGGGTCCCAGGGAGCACCCCCGAAGACCCACTAACGTCCCTCTCCAGGAACACCTATGGCTGGCCAAGGATCCAGCCCCAGAGTGTCAATATGCCCCCAGCAAGAGGCCCCTGGGAACTCAGCCCAGAAGGGTACCCACAGGCTGCCTCCACCTGTGGTATCTGAGGCCTATAACAGAGGGAGAAGCAGGCTGAATCCCCCCCCACACACACACACACACACGCGGGTACTCCCCTGACCTCCTGGCTGACCTTGAAGGTTGTTTGTCCTCAACTTGAGAAGTCTCCCTCACCAGCAACCTCCTCCTCAGGCCCTCCTCAACACTCCAAGGGTCTGAGTCTGCTGCCCCAACCACCCCTCTGCCTATGTGGGCCTAGACCAAAGCCCTGGTCCCAGAAAATGCATAGACTACCTTAAGTCGAGGCCAGGGCTTGAGCCAAAACTGTATAAGGTTCAGACCTGGGGAAGGGAGATTTGATCTCCAGGTTACAGTAGTGTGGAGGCCAAAGTGCCCCAGATTGAGCCTCCCATGGCCTCAGGCTCTTGGCACCAACAAACCTGCTGGTCAGAAAAAGCAGAAAACTGCAGGCTCCAGTTAGCCCTGAGCATCTGCGGGGGGGCCTCCAGCGCCCCGCCAGGGTGTCTGGGATGAAGGGCAGAGGAGGGCAGTAGCCTGGCAGGGCCAGAGGGAACCACGTGCACCTCTCCCCCACCATGCTTTGCAAGCACGGGGCTTGCCGCTGCTAGAGACAGGAGGCCTTGAGGGCCAGGGGCCTAACCACCTAGGAGGGCAAATCACGAGCAGCTAGCCTCAAACCTTGGCCTCGGAGCTCAAGGTCGCTCAGGCATCTGACTCAGAAGTCTGGAAACCCTCCAACCATGAAGCTGTTCGGCCTTCTCCCTACTCGGGGCCCTCAGGGGTCTTGCAGAGCCAGAAGTGTGGGCGTCCAAACATATCGGGCCTAGCTCCCTTCAACTCAGCCAGGTGCCAGGTGAGGCGGAAGCCGGGAGCTGCCGGGCCCAGAGCTGCCGGCGCGGGCCTGGGAGGGCGTGGGCGGGGTCTCCGCGCCCCGCCCCTTCGCGCCCGTCCGCCCTGGAACATGTGGCCCAGTCCCTGCTAACCTTTCCCCAAGGTCACCCTCGGGGCCCTACGGGAGCCGGCGGGGGAGGGGAGGTCCGGGCTCCAGTGGGGCCGCGCGCGTCTCACCTCGACAGGGGCCAGGGTCCTGGTGGCTGCGCCGGCGGGAGTGGCGAAGTGGGCGGCGCGGGCTGCCGGCATTTCAGGAGCTCGCCGAGCCTGCTCTCCACTTGCTGCTGCGTGGGCCCTGCGAGTACAGAGAGAGCACGTCAGCCGCCGTTGCGCCGGGACCTTGGTCTGTCCCGGCGCGCAGACCCCCCCATCCGGCCATTCCCGCCGCCCCGCCCCTGTGCACCTGTGCGGCGCTGCGCGACCAGCTTGCTGGGCCCCTTGGTGATGGTGTACATGGTGCGGAGGGGCCGCCCCGCGCACTGCTCGAACGCACGCTCTCGCCTCCCCGCCCGCCAGCCCGCGGCCAGGTCCCGCGCCCTCTGCTTAGGATTGCGCTAGGCGAGCGCCGAGGGCGCTGCCCCTTTAACAGGCAGGCCAACGCGGCGGGGAAGGGGCGGGTCCGTTACACGCCCCCGGCCCTTAAAGGGCCCGCATGGCTCGGGATGGCCAGGGGGCACGTGGCGGGGGCGGTGCTCCAGCTCCTTGGGAGACACACCCTCCCCTAAGCGGTGAGTCCGGGGAGGGACCCGCTGGAACCAGCGCTCCACCCACTGGCCCAAGACGGAGGCAGAGGTAGTGAGTTTCTTCGGGCCTGGGCCTCACGTTCGTCACGCTGCCACGAGGTCAGGTGAGCTATGGGGCACCCAGAGCATTGGCGAGGCTCTGGCCCAAGGTGCCTGCCGGGTCAACGATGATGTCCCAAGGAACCAACACCCCTGCCATTGACAGGCGCTGGGGTGCTCTGTGCGCACCCTGTAAACAGTGCTCCCACTTTTGTCAGTGGCCTCAGCCAGCATGCCTGGGTGGGTCGGGCCAGTGTGAGGGGTTCCTCTTGGCCTGAGTCTTTGGACTGAGGGAATCGGAGTCGAGAAAAAGGGATTGGCTCCCTGGGTTTGCGCAGAGACTTGAGGACACCCTGGGAATCTCCCACCCCAGGAGACAATAGCAGTGGGTACATTCTGTTCTGCATCTTAGCCTCCCATGCCCAAGTGCACCCTTAGCTCCAGGAAGGGGGTGCCACTTAACAATACAGGAACAGTGTGGGGATGGGTGGGATGTGGGAAGAGAAAAGGTGAGACAACCCAGCTTGCCGGTCTCTTGCGTGGGAGAGAGCTGTTGCTGCACCCCCCACACACACTCCCAACCTCCCACTCCCGCCCCCAAACTCTCCCAGGCAGTGAGGTCTGCTACAAGATCCACTGCACTGACAGTGCCTTAAAGCTCATCTGTGACCTACAGGGTGCCTGGAACCAGGCCTGCCCAGAGGAGGCGGGCAGACTTGGTAGCTGCATCTAGGAAGGCTGTACCCTACAGGATTCCTTCTGAGAATCAGAGGAAGGTGCCCTTCCTCTCAGTTCACAAGCTATTCAGGGCTGCCCCAGGCTGTAGGTTAGAGGATCCTGGCATGGGGAAAGAGAACCACAGCACTCTTGGGTTTGTGAGCCTGAGGGCCTAGAGGCACCCTGTCATCTTCTATTTGGTTGAGTTCAATCCTTAACAGCCTACCACCCAAGACAACAAACTTTGCCCACAGGTCCCCAGGAGTCATGGAATCTGTCCCTAGGCTTGTGTGACCACCTTGGGCCCTCAGGGCTCCTGCGCTGCTCACAAATATTTAAGGAGGGTCTGCTGGCTGGCACCAGGGCCTGGGGTGTCCAGTAGGGCCTTGTCTCCACTGCTGCCCCAGGGGGCTTGCCCTCAGCACAATGAACCAGTGGATTCCTGAAATAAACCTAGTCCCTTCCCCCCACAACCCGCCTTCAGAGTAGAGCGGCCTGAAGCCTCCCACCCAGGCAAGGCTAAGAGGCCAGAGCAGACATCAAGCAGAGACCGCAACAGGGAGAGAGGAATGAGAGGTGGCTCCTGGCTAAGGCGGGGTGGGGGGTGGGGGTTGGCAACGGACCAGCAAGAGGAACCTCCACCCTACCTGTTCTGTGCTGTGGCCCTCCCCAGTTACCCCATGTGCTTATGTGGGGTGACCAGGCCTGCTCAGGGTCCCTCAGGGAAGCTTGCATCCCAGGGGTTGTTGGGCTGTCTTTCTTCTCATGTGCCCCAACACACAGCCCCTTGTCTCTGCATGCTGTCTTAAACAAGGCTGAAATACAAATGCCCCCCTCCCATCTGCTTCCTTTGCCGGTGGGTCAGGCTGGGCTAGGCCTGTGACCCTGAGAGGCAAGAGGGGGCCCAGATCCCAAACAAGAGCATGTCCAGGGAATCCAGGCTCCCTTTCCATATCTGTGGTGCCTATACCTCCCCTTGAGCAGCATCAAGGCCAGCATGGTTCTGCGTCATCTGTGCTGGCTGCCCTGGCCTTTCTGGTGGCCTTATGCATGATGCTCACTCACACTCTGGGGAAACAGCACAGGGGGAGGGGTCTGGGGGGGGGGCTGTATCCTGAGGATTTGCATTCCTAGCAGAGGGAGCAAAGGCCTGCAGTGAGGGGGGGGGTCACTGCCCCCCTAGCCAACACAAACTGTCTTGAGAGCTCCTGCTCCCCAGGCACCCCCACAGGCTGGCCCGAGTGAGGGGAAGGACAGCACCTATTGACAGGCAGACAGGCCTGGCCTTTGCTTAAACCTTCTGGTGGCCAAGATCCCAAGCCCTAATGTCCTGGCCCTGCCCATAGGCCTTGTCTGAGGTCAAAAATTGAGTCCAGAGCCCTGGAAAGGGCCCAGGCGAGAGCAGCCCAACTGGAATGGTCCTGACAGAGGGGAGGGGAGGGAGTGCAGGACAAGCAGGGTGCTGGAAGGGTTGGAGGGGTGGTAGGGTGGGAGAGCCCAGTGGTTTTTTCCAAGAAACACTGAACCAAGGGAGCAGGGAGAACAGAAAGGAAGAAGGCCAAGTTGTGAGGGATACCTGCGAGGGCGGCCTGGCCTTCCCCCAAGGGACCTTACCAGCCTTACAGCTTCCAGGATCCAACTATGAGCACTATACCAGCCCTGGCCTAGGAATGGAGCCAAGGGGCATGGGATGGGCCCGGCCAGAGCTCCCAAGAGCTCAGCTTGGTTCTCCTGGACAGGCAGGAACCTCAATCAGCACAAGGTTCTTCCCCCCAGCCTCCTTGGCCTTCCCCTGTGTGGAGAGACTGTTCAATGATGTGACTGCTTTGGGACCCTCAAGCTAGATCTAGCCAGAACAGAGATGGCATCCCCCAAATCCCCTCAGAGATTGTCAGATTAACACCCCCTCCCCGACCCCAGGTGTGCTGGTTTGTGCTGGTTTGTGCTGGTTTCTGGAATAGGCCATTGCCCTTCCCTAGGAAACCATATAAGACATTTTTCCCTTATCTGGGGTGGGTCATGACCCAGTACCCCCATCCATCTTGCCCTGCCCTACCCTTAGCGCCTGCAGTGTCATCTTGCCACCACCCAAGACACACCTCTTATGTAAGTTCCCTTAATAAACCCTTGATGGGATAATAGAGTTGTCAACTTCTTTCTTTGTTCTCTTGGCCCAGGAAATTTTACCTAACACCATGGATCACACTATCCATGATGGCAGGTCGGCCTGCGAGGGCCCTGCAGAGGCAGCATTTTGCAGCCAGCAACATTCTCATTATCGGAGAGGTTAGGAACCCACCCTGGGAGGCTGGAGACTGGGACCAAAGGGAAGAGCCTCACCCAATAAGCAGAAAAAATGGCTGTTAGGGTAAGAAAAAGCCTTTACATCACAGACCCCAATCATCATAATAAAAACAAGTACTGCTTTTCTCTAAAAATGTTCTAGATGCAAAACTAAAATTTTACATGAAAGAATAAAGAAGCTTGTTTTCAGTCATCCTCAATCACTTAACAGATCTGAAATCCATACCCTCACAAACCCAGACTGGAAGATGAGCTTCTGCCCATAGATGGGTGCTCCCACATCCACCGCCCAGCTTGTAGGGATCACTTGGCCCATTCCGAAACCCAAGTGCAGCGGGTTGAATGGTGTTCCCCAAAAGATATGTGCACCTAGAACCTCAGAATGTGACCTTAGGCAAAGATTTTGAGATAAGGTCATCCTGGATTAGGATGGGCTCTAAATCCAGTGAGTGTCACTGTAAGAGAAAAGAGATGGATTTTTGGTCACAGAGACACAGAGAGGAGAGAGCCAGGTGAAGATGGAGGCAGAGACTAGAGTGAGGTGACTGCAAGCCCAGGAACACCTGAAGCCCCCAGGAGCAGGAGCAGGAAGGAAAAAGCTTCCTGTGGACTTTGGAGGAACTGACACCTTTATTTTGGACTTTTGGCTTCGGAAATTGTGAGACAATAAATATGTATTGTTTTAAGGCACTAAGTTTTGGGATAATTTGTTACAGCAGACATATCAAGAGGGTGATAGCGGGTGAGGGAACTGGAGAGGAAGCACCCAGGGTGCATAGAGGCCCTGGGAGGAAGCGAGGACACCCATTGGGATGGAGAGGGGGTTCAAAGAATGGTGGGCACATGGGCCTTGACCATGTTGTTGGCTCCAGCCATCTTGGGGCCAGCATTCGGGAAAGCTTGCTCCACAGCCCTTTGTGGGTGAGCACAATTGGGAGGAGGTGGGAATCCTTGCCCAGGAGCCCCTCCCTCACTAGGTGTTTCCTGAGCACCTCCTGTGTGCCAGGCCCCAAGACAGGTGATGGTGGAGGGTACAGCTTTCTGGAAGTAGAAGTGCAGTACAGGATGTGTGTCTCATGCAGGAGGAAGTACATCCTGGTCCTGGACTTAGGCCTGAGGCCAAAGCCAGAGGGAGGTACTGCAGTATGGGCAGAAAGGCTGGTATCTTGTGCCCCCTCAAGGCTCTCTGGGCACTAGAGATTTTATCATGAGGATAAACACTCATTTGGAAAGGTGGCCCATGCCACAGTACCTTTCACTCAGTGGGAGATAAGCCCCTCATGAAGGCCACCTGGGAGCCAAATTCAGTCTCAGGACACTTATGGCCCAACAATAATCCAGCCTCAGGAGACACCACTGAGCACAGGCTGGGGCATGAGACACTTCCAGGGGTCTGCTGTTCAGCATCCTGTGGGGGTCCTAGACCCTCCCAGAGTCTGACACACATCCATGGCATTCCAGAAAATGTGTGCTCACATGTGTTCAGACAAGCTCATGCATGCACACACACACACGCACACACACACACACACACACACACACTCACAGTCACTCACTGCAGCAAAGGCTGCCACTCAGCCTTGTCCACCTGCTTCTGTCCCAGGCTCTGAGCTTGGTGAGTGTTGAGATCAGATGTCAGCTCACACAGCGTCAAGTCTAGAGTGATGGATGTGGCAGGCGGTTATCAACCTGAGATCAAATGCTGTTAAACAGAAGTAGTTGCTGGGCATTTGAGCAGTTCCTTAATGCAGTGCATATGACAAGCGGGAAAGCCAGGAGATCAGTCTCATGCTCCTCCCAATAGGACATGGGGTATAAAGGAAAACTTCTTTTTCTACACCTACAACACTTCTGACACCAAATGTGTGGGTTTTCCTCACTGAGCAATTCTCCAGTTCTCTGTGGGCACCAACTATGTGTCCTACAATTTAACTCAATTCTGACACTAACTGCCCAGCTTTAGCGCAGACCCCATAGACTGAGAGCTCAGTCCTCCAAGACCGTCCCCACTTCAGACAGCAGTCACAAGTCCAGGTTGTCACCTGTGCTTCTGACAGGCCAGCTATAAATCAGGGTTTCCACGACCAAGCCCTCTTTTGTTTCCATAATTTACTAGAAAGGCTAACTCAGAGAAACACTTTACTTAGATTTACTAGTTGATTATAAAGGATATGACTCGGGAACTGCAGATAGAAGAGATGCACGGGGAAGGGGTGGGAAGGCTGCGGAGCTTCCCAGCCCTCCCCCGAAGCATCATCCGCCTGGCACCTCTATGTTTACCAACCCAGAAGCTCTCTGAACCCCCTCATTTAGGGTTTTTATGGAGGTCCTATTACACAAATCTAATTGATTGTCATTGGTTGTTGGTGATCAGCTCAATCTCCAGCCCCTCCTTCCAAGGAGGTTGGGAGCCAGTCTGAAAGTTCCAATCCTCTAACCACAAGATAGGTTTCCCTGGCAACCAGCCCCCATCCTGCAAGAGTCACTTCATAGGTAAGGCTGAAAGGGGCTTGTTAATAACAGATGTTTTTCTCACCCCATCACCCAGAAAATCCCAGAGTTTTAGGAATTCTGTGCCAAGAACTGGGACAAAGACGACATATATATTTATCATCTGACAATATCACAGGGTGGCGGGTGCCCAGGGAATCCCATGTGAAGCCAACAGGAAGCCAGTGTCTCTAGGTGGGTGAGGAGTGGTTAAGGGGCCTGAGTGATGAGTGGTGTAGGCAGTGAGACCTCAAGTGACCACTAGTCACAGGTGGGGGTCAGGAGCAGGGATGTGCATTGAGAGTCACCTCTCCTCCAACTGGAGACACAAAATGCTCAGCCAACAAACCAAGAGAAAGTGAGGCAAAAGGCGAGTCAGGTATGGAAATCTCGGCACTGTGAAATGGGAAAGACCGCTAAAGGAAGACGGTGGTCACAGTGCAGAATGCCAAAGGGATTGCCTGGAGGAGGGGAGGCCGCCAACTCTACAGCATTTCCCTCCACGTCTGACCATACCCATACTCCTGGCCCCTGGTCCCACGGTGCACGCCACCTGGCGGGCAATCCCAGGCTAAAGTCCGGGTCAGGACCATGAGAGCGCTGGCCAGAGTGCCGTCGGGTATGGAGATATCGCTCGTGAAAAATTGCCCAGCAAAAGAGATTAGCTAGTTTTGACTGCAAGGCACGGCCCTCGGCTTGAGAAACAGGGCCCCTCTGAAACGTGGGCCCCAATGTGACACCTGCGGAAGCACGCTGGACACAACAAATCTGTCTCCGATTTGATTCAGGGGTCACTGACCCCTCATAATGTCCGTGGTCATCTCAATGTCATTGAGAAGCCCTGAGCATCACAGGATCCCCCTCTTTCAGGCCTGCCCAGTTTCTGCAGGCTGGGACAGCCCGCCCATCCGCAACCCTGCTCATCCGGAACCCAGCTCATCCGCAACTCCGCTCACCAGAAGCTCTGTCCCAATAGGAGCCCCATCTTGGCCCCGCCCCCCATAGGCTCCGGAAGATGTGCGGTTGCCATTGTTTCCATGGGGCAGGCCCAAATTGAGGCGGTCGTCAAACCCGTGTCTCTCATCTCCGCTCCTTTCCCTCGAGCGCTGTGCGTTCAAAGGACACTGAGAGACTCCTACTGTCATGGGCCCCGTCCAAACGGCTCTCCTACCCTAATTGCCCACTGCGGAATGCTGAGCCCGGCCTTGACAGCTGCGGTGGCAGTGGCATAGCGCATGCGCTATGGCATTTTGGAGCCCGAGGCGGTTGCGTCACAATCTCCTAAGTCTTTCGAGCCACCCATGCGTCAACAAGCGCCGCTGGTGTAGTGGTATCATGCAAGATTCCCATTCTTGCGACCCGGGTTCGATTCCCGGGCGGCGCAATTCTGCCTTCAGGTTTTCTTTTTCCCCATCTCAAAAAAAAATTTTCAGTCATAACAAATTTTAAAACGAGAGAAAACCAAAAAACAAGGGGGAACCGGCACTAACAAGACAGTTTCATAGAGTGACAAGCGCTATGAAAATACTAGGACGTCAATGGAGACAGGGTGCTGAGCTGAGGAGAGCCCGCAAACCAGCGACCCAAGCTTGCGGGTCCTTTCCCCGTGTGCCTCTTGAGGCTGTGGGCCCTTTAACCTGCCGCGTGCGGCCTCCTGGGAATTGTAGTCGAGGCGGGGGGGCTTCACGGCGGCTGGACTACAACTCCCAGCAGGCTTCGCGGAGGCTGGACTACCTCTTCTGGCGGACCAGCTCTGCGGACACGATGTTGGTGGCGGCGGCGGCGGACAGGAACAAGGAGCCCATCTTGCGTGTGCTGCAGCAGTACGTGGACCCGGCCCAGCGTGGCGTCCGTGTGCTTGAGGTGGCCTCGGGCTCCGGCCAGCACGCAGCACACTTTGCGCGGGCCTTCCCCCACGCGGAGTGGCAGCCGTCTGACGTGGACCAGCGCTGCCTGGACAGGTGCGGGGGAAGGCGGGACCTGGGTGGTGAAAGTGGGCCGGGTCCCGCTGTCCCAGCTCCCCACGCCACCGTGACCTCTGTGAGCAAGGCTGCAGGGGGAGTCAGGAACAGGTGCACAGGCCACCTCCACCCACGTGTTGCCCTCCCACAGCATCTCGGCCACCACTCAGGCCCAGGGGCTGTCCAACGTGAAGGCCCCGTTGTACCTGGACGTGACCTGGGATTGGGAGCAATGGGGCGGGATCCTGCCGCAGTCGCTGGACCTGCTGCTCTGCATCAACATGATCCACATCAGCCCCCTGAACTGCACCGAGGTCTGTGGGAGCTTGGGCGAGCCACCTGAGGACCAGCCACCTGCACCAGGGGGCACTCCTCCCCCTGCATTGGGAGGGAGCAGGGTGCCAGGTTTGCCTGGTATCGTAGGGCACTAAGGCCCCAGGAGATCAGGTTGGGTCTCCAGCCCCCAGTCCAGGGCTGTTTTGGAGGCCTGGGGAAAGTTCCTCACTGCCAACCTGCCTCCCTCCTCCCCAGGGGCTCTTCAGAGCAGCAGGACACTTGCTCAAACCCAAGGCACTGCTCATCACCTATGGGGTGAGTGCTCCTGCCAGAGATGGGCCTCCACTGTCTGGATGATTCCAGCAAGACTCAGCCATCCTCTCCTTTCTAGACTCTCCCTTTTGTGTCAGTATTTTCAGTTGCCCTCTCCCCGACTACCTGTCACCATTAAACACGCCCAGATCCTCCTTTCTCAAAGTCTCCCTGCACCCCCTTAGCTCACCAGCTGGTCCTCGGCTGTCTCTTTCTTGGGATTAGGGAATGGTGTGTCCTTTCCATCCTCTGGTGCCAGCCTGAAAGTCTGCAGGATGGCTTACCCTGGGGCTGTGGGCAGAGCCCTGTCCTTCTGTCTCCACAGCCCTATGCTATCAATGGGAAGATCTCTCCCCAGAGTAATGTGGACTTTGACCTGACCCTCAGATGCAGGTTAGAGCTGAGTAGGAGGGAGGCCTGGCTGGGAGGGCAAGTGGCTGGGTGACGCCCAAGCCACACCCCCACTACTCCCCGGCCCCCACCTCCCGCCCCCATGCAGGAACCCAGACTGGGGGCTGCGGGACACAGCCCTCTTGGAAGACCTGGGTCAGGCCAGCGGTCTGCTCCTGGAGAGGATGGTAGGTGGGGAGAGCTGGGAGCATGGGCAACCTCTCTGGGTAGCTTATCTGGAGGCTGCTTCTCCAGCCAAAGCATTTCTCCCAGGTGGACATGCCAGCCAACAACAAGTGCCTGATTTTCCGGAAAAAGTAACTCCTCCTTCTCCCGAATGCCTGTGACCCCAACGAGGCCCCTTCTGGGACAAACCCAGATAGTCAACCCTCTCCTTCCCTGGGTCAGGCCATGGAGACTGGCCTTGTCTAGTCTGGGGGCTCCTGGCCAGTGGTCAGGGGGCTGCTGAGGGTGTGGGAATAAAGTGTTTCCTGCTGTCCTATTGCTGGTGTACACTACATCTTCTCAAACACCCTGGTGGTGCTGGGTGGGCAGGCTGTATCTCTGAGCGCCCCATATTGGGGGCAGGAGGGGTTTGGCATGTGGGGTGAAGACGTGGGGACATCTTGGCCCCTGCTGCTCCTCTTGGGCAACAGAGAAGGAAAAGAGGACCCAGGGACTGCTGAGGCAGAACTAAGCTGGCTGCTTGGCCCTTCTGCCACAGGAAGTGGCACCCACCTTGGGGCTTGGTTCTGGCTTGTGCTGCAGGGAGATAGGAGGCTCCCCATAGGGGAACTGGTGCTCCCCGGTGATCTTAGACTGCAGCCAAAGCCCATTTGGTGGCTGGAACCTAGATTACAGACTGGGTGGGGGAAGGGTAGTACCACTGGGAGGCTCAACACCAGCAGGTCATTAGGTCCTTCCTGGGAAACATTTTTATTTGGTGGGACCCGGGGGACTGGAGGGCAGGGGCAACCAGAGCGCTGTGTGGGCAGGGCTAGTCCTGGAAGCGGTTGAGCAGCTCACAGGCCCTCTTCTCAAGGAGCTCTGAGATTTTCTTGACCCGTTTCTCACTGGCGGTGCGGACATAGCTGCCAGCATCCAAGACAGCCACACCGTCTCGCACCTCACCCATGATGACCAGTGGGCCATCACCAGCTGTCACGTTTGGGCAGGGACAGGCCCAGTCCATACCACTCAGTGTCACCTCCAGGTACTTGGTGCCCAAGAACCTGAGGCCCATCTTGTCATCCTTGAGCACGTCATCTAGGGCCACGCGGGCAATGCTGCCGCCACCTGCTTCAGGCTCCTCCAGCACCTCAGTGAGACGCCCCACAATGGCAAAGTCACTACGGCACAGGCTCAGCGCCAGCTTGCTCCTGAGGCGACAGGCCCGGCAGGGCGGTGTGCGCGGCACGGGGCAGGTGTCCTCACAGCTCTCTCGGCTCTCAAAGTTGTTGCTGTTGCCTTCACAGCCACCATACACAAAGGGGTGGCACTGCTGCAGCAGCGGGCTGTAGGCCCAGCGTGGCTCCCAGCCCTGGCAGGGTCCCTGCACAGCTGGCAGCACACAGGTGTCTCCAGGGCCGCGGGCACAGGCCTGCTGGCACGCCTCGAAGGTCTCAAAGCCCCGTGTGCCCCCATCACAGCTACCAACTGGGAAAGTCATGCAGCTGCCCCGCTGTGGGTCAAAGTGCCAGAGGACATGGCTGGAGGGGGGGCCAGCACAGGCCTGTGTGTTGGGCAGGCATTCGGCCAGGGTGGGGGCACTGGGGGCCCTGTCCCTGGCCAGCTCTCGCTGGACCACAGAGAGCGGGAAGTCAGCCCGCAGCAGGCCGGCAGCGTTGCGTGCGGTGCAAGTGTAGAGGCCAGCATCCTCAGGCTGGGCGTTGTAAAGTACCAACTGCCCAATGCTAGTGACCACTACATTGCCATACATCTGGTCTGGCCGCATGATCAGGTTCTCCCGCTGGTCACTCTGCTTCTCCCAGGTCACCGCAGGTGGTGGGTGGCCACTGACATCACAGTGGAGGCTGGCAGTGCCCCCTACATATACCACCTGTGGGAACGGGCTGCTGTAGAGGGCAGGTGGCACTGGGGCGTCCCCAGGCGTTGGGCGAGCAGTGGTTTCAGGTGGCCCTGGGCTGCTGGGTGGCCAGGTGAGGATGTGCTTGCAGGGCACGACGTGCAGGCGGAGGCCACGTAGGCAGGCCTCGGCGTCCATGTAGCAGCGATTGTAGTAGGTGAGGCCGTCGGAGGCGCAGGTGAAGCTGGGCTCCTTCTCACAGCGGTCACGGCAGCGACACACTGGCTGCCCATCCCAGATATCGCAGTTGGAGCCCTGCTGTGGGCATGCAAAGCCCTCACATGAGGCCATCAATGTGGGTGTAGCCAGGCCGCCATCAGGGAAGCGGGCAGCCACACAGCTCTGTAGCCCACACACATTGGTGCAGCACTTCTCAGCAGCCACGCAGTCCTGGGGGTTGAGGGACAGCTCAGCAGGTGCCCTAACACCCCCCGCCTAGCCAGGGTTCTCGCTTGCTGGGCAGGGTGCACCCTACTGCATATCCCTGAGCCTCAGTTTCCCTTCTGGAAAGCTGAGCAGGTTTGCACAAATTTGCTTTCCATTCAATGCAGTGAGCTACAGCTGCTTCACAGGCCAGTCCTGTGTGTCATCTCACAAAACCTCACTGAATCCTTGGACCCAAAGCAGGTTGTATTATTACTCCCATAGTACAAATAAGGAAACTGAGGCCCAGAGAAGATGGGCAGCATGATCAAAGCCAATTTGGGGGGATGCAGAGCTGGGCTGCAAAGGCAGGACATCCAGATGTAGCCCCTGCCTTTCTACCTGGCTGGTCCTGAGAACTGGCCCCAGGGCGGGGATGGGCAGGCTCAGGGAGTGAAGAGGACAAAGATTGGGGGTAACCCAAGACTCTCATATAGGCCATGGACTGAAACCCTGGCAGGAGTGTGGGAGCCAAGGAGGAAGTAGATTCCTGGGGCTGGGGTCCCCTCTGTAGGCAAGGCCTGGGGTCATGGGTGAGGTCTGGTCTTTCTCCAAGCCGCCCCAGTTTCCTTCCGGCCCCCCTCCCGCCCACACACACACCAGGGTAGGTGAGGACGGAGCCCATGCTCACCTGGTCCCCGACGCACTCACGCTCACAGGTACTCTGGGCATCCACCCACAGATTGGGGCTGAGTTGGTTGGGGCACACGCCCAGGTGGTTCCTGGGCCCCTGTGGCAGGCTGGCCCCTGAGGTCAGCCCAACCATTAGTAGTGGCAGGAGCAGCCTCTGGGCCGACATGGGGACCACTAGGCCAGGGGGTGGGGATATGTGACCACCAGCCCCTCCGGCCCCGCCGACCACGCCCTGCAGGCATCCACCTTCTAGGCCTGTTGTCGGCGCCCCTGCCCTCGGGCCCCTGGCAGATCCTCCAGGCTCCCCTTTGGTCCCCAGGGTCTGAGCCCACAGCAGATGCTTCGTTTCAACACCCGGGTGGAAAAAGAGCTGCTTCGTTTCAACACCCGGGTGGAAAAAGAGCTGGGTGGGTTCCGGATCTCTGAGCTCTGGTGTTGCCCCTACTCAGCTTGGCCCCTCTGTGGTCAGCGCAGGGCAGGGGGCGGGGAGGGGGGAAGGATAGGGAGGGACTGAGGCCTAGAAACAAGGAGACACTGGCCAAGAGGGGCAAGGGGCGGAGAAGGGCCGACTCTGGCCAGAGAGGGGAGGGGAGGGGACACTGTAACCGGAGCCCCTCCTCTCTACAGGCCCTGGTCTCAGGGGATCAAAGCTGCCTGGCAGACCCTCTCAACCCAGGTTCAGGACAGGGAAGGAGGGGGAAGGGAGATCAAATGCAGGGGCTGACAGAATCCGCCCTTCCAAACTCTTCCCAGGGGTCTGGGGCCCCAGGAACATCTGCTCTGAGACTGGATGGAAAACGTCCCGTGACCCTGTGTCTGACCTTATGACCCAGGAGGCAGAGTAATAAGAGCCTGGTCTGGTCAGAATGAGACCAAGAGACGCCCCAGGTCTAGAGGACGCCATTGGTTGGCCCTGTGAGGGGGCCACCGGTGTGGAGGGCCACTGGGCCAGACTTTGGACAGGGCTCAAGGCCCAGGACCCTCCCACAAAGCTGCAGCCAGAGGCTTGGTCCCTGAGTGTTGGGACCATGTTTAGAGTGATCGTCCCTCAATCCCCGCTGACCTTGAGTGTCCATTGTACCCCAGGGCCTGGGTCCTCCAGGTTGGGGTGAGTCTCAGGGGATGGCCCACCCTAGGTTATCTGCTCCATTCCTGGCTCTATGCCCACCGCCCTCTCAGGCAGCAGTGAACTCAGTGGTTAGGCCCTGCCAGGGCCGTTAGTGAGGGCTCAGATCCCAGGTTCCAGCCTTGAGGGCAGTGGGGAAAAGGTGGTCCTGCTTTGCTACCCCACAGGGAGAGACAGGCTGGAGAGGGCTGGCTGCTTGGAAATGCAGCTCACCCTGTAACTGGGGAAGCTGCAACAGGCATGCTCAGCCCTCACAACCAGGACATGTACCAGTCAGTAAGGCTGGTCACAACGGACAGAGGGGTCCACAAAGCTGTGCTAGACCTATCATATCAGAGTGCACACCCACGTCACCGCATCACACTTCCAACCCACCAGCCAGTTAAAACCAGACTTTAATTCACATAAAATACAGCCTGGAGGTCAGAGCTGAATTACATTTACTGTACAAAGAAACAAACAGTCCAAAAGGAGCTCAGGAATGGTGTGAGTGTCAGCAGTGAAGGGTAGTGTTTATGTGGTGAATGCAGGACAGTCCACACCCTCAAATAAAGTCCACGTGATTTTGTTCAAAGTTCAAAGAAATGGGTCAGGTTGGTAGGACAGGGCAGGTGGGGCCTCCTCTGCCTGATCCTGCTGGTGGCCAGGCCTCAGCTGGGGTCCCCAGGAGCCCCTGCTTACACAGGCCTCGGCCCCTAACCCCGCCCCAACTTGTGTCCTAGAACAGCAGGCGTGGGGACTGTCCCAGAGGAAACCCACTGCAAAGGAGTCCCAGAGAGAGGGGGTCTCAGGCCTAGGGAGGCCCCAGCAGGAGGTAGAGTTGAGCACCAGTGTGACCGACGGCCATGTCACCAGCCAGGTGGGTGGAAAGAGGCCAGGCCTCCAGCTCAAGGCTAGCTGCCGGGTCCTGGAGGAGGGACTTGGGTCCACCGCTGTGGCTGCTCCAGGTGGCATCACTAAGAAATGGGTCAGGATGGTTCTGATGACGTGACCTCACAGAGGGGCGATGCCAGGCAAGAAGCAGCTATGGAGTGATACCCAAGGTCGTCAGGGAACAGAAGCTGGCGAGAGCCAGGTCCAGACACTCAGGAAGCGAGTGAGTGGTGACTCAGTCCAGACCTGCAGAGTACCTGGCAGTCCCTCAAGTATTTATCACCTACAGACAGCTCTGCATCTTCATATGGAGAAATGTTGAGCCCGTCTCATATAGCAACATATGTAAACATGACCAAAGGTGCCCCCACGTGAGGAAGGATGTGGGGCATACCCCACTTCTCCTTTCCCAGAAACATCAGCAGTCCTCTTGGGAGCCCACGGCTCCATGACACACAGCGACGTCACCCTGGAAGGCTGGCAGGAACCCAGGAAGCTGCAGCCCCACTGTGCAGACTGTTAGGCCCACCCCCACACCACTGCCCAGCACTGTGTGGTGGGCACACTGGTCACCATGCTCAGAAAGTCCAGCATGGGTAGTGAGGTCCAAGTTTGCTGCCCAAAGCTCATGTGTCCCCACAGGCCCCTGCATAGCCCACACCCCATGTGAAGTGTATGGAACAGTGGATTCCTTCCCGTCTTTGCCTCAAATCCCTCCCTAATGTCCCAAAGCTTATTTCCACGAGCCCACTTGGGCTCACCCCATGGCTGCATTAAGGCTTCCCTGTCGGCCCTTTAAAAAGGTACAAAAGTGGTGAAATGTCTCCTATATAAATAAGAAAGCGAGCCAGGCCCTGTGGGACCTCAGGACAGTCCCCTCAAGGTGGAATCAGGCAGAGCATGTGGGGACCCGGGCTCGCTCCGCAGCGCAGCCTCTGCTGTCCTACAGGGCTCATTTGGCTGAGAACACCTGCCCGCTAGGTGTGTCCCACGCTCCCAGGAGGGGCCATGTGGCCAAAGTCTACCCTGCACACGGCGCCGTCCCAGCACCCGGCCAGGAGCTTCCCCAAGCCTGAGCCCTCACTCCTCGAGCGTGTCTGGACAGGTGGTGCTTGCCTGCCCTGCTAAGAGATCTTGCAGTTGCTCCTGGAGCAGTTCTGGGGTGGGCTATGTGGGGGGCGGATAGACTTGGACCTCTTGAGGCTGTTGCCCTTGCTGCCACCACCCCCTGCCCCACTGGCCAGTGAGTAAGAACGCCCATGCATCATGACAGCATTCATGCCATTGGCCATTGAGAAGGACTTGAGGTGGCTCTTGATGGTGACAGGCAGAGGGAGCTTGTCGATGAGGTGCACGGGGGTACAGGAGACGATGGCACGGCAGCAGAGGTCTTGCAGGCTGAACACTGGGAGGTGTAGAAAGGAGGTATGTAAGACCTCAGGGGTCAAACTATGAGGAAAGGGGGTCAGACCATGGGTAGAGTGGTCAGATAATGGAGGGGGGTTCAGGCTCGGGGGACGGCAGTGAGGCACCAAGTGAGCTCAGAGTCTAAGGCCCTGAGGTACGGGGGATACTTAGGGTTGAGTAGTTTCATCTGGTCATATGAGCACAAGTATGCTCAGTGGGGGGTTGAGGTTTTTGGACCTGGATCCTGATACCCCACCACTCCACCTTGTGCCAGGTGCCACCAGAAGCAGCCACTGGAAGATGCCTTGCTCTGGCTTTCTCCCTAGAGCTGCACACTGAGAAGTACCCTGGGAGACCCTGCTTCTGAGGGATTAGCCAGCTCTGCTCCCAGTGTGCTTGGCAGGAGACTGAAGCTTCCAGAAACACTGGCCACCTCTGGCATCTCTGGGAGGACATGGCTTGAGCTCGTGGCACAGGAAAGGGTACAGTCAGACTCTTTACAGCTCAGCTCTAGGAGGGAGGGGTTGGAAGCCACTCCCCTGCTTGCTCTGGGACACACCAGGGCCCATGGCACCACCCCCAGCACAAGGGCATCATTAAGTGTAATAATTCCAAGACCCCCAAACAAAGCACATGCAGGGAGCAAGTTAGTTTAGTCATGGCACATCGTGGGAGGCCTACTACTGGGGAGCCTGAACCCCTGAGAGGGACTACGACCTCTAAAGGGCCGCCTGTCTGGTGCCCTCAATAATCAATTCTCAGGCCCCAGGGGCCCCAACAGTTGTTCCTCACCTCGGTTAGGCCTCCAGATCTTCTCCATGCCGTGCCGCATGAGAACGATGCGGGACAGCTCAGTAAAGGACTCGGTGACATTGAAGTTGCACAGAGGGCTGACCTCGAAGAAGGTCATGCAGTTCTTCTCTGCATAGGCACGTGCCTGCTCCGTTGGGACTTGCCGCTTGAAGGCCAGGTGTAGCCGGTTCCCAACCAGGATCCGGGGAACTCCAGGTGCATGCTTGGGGCGCATAAGACTCAGTATAGCCATGAACACGGGATGCCGCGCTCCTGGCTGTCCCCCCTCCCTGATTCTGTGATGGGATGGGGTTCAGATCTGTGAGGCACAGCACCCCAGCCTTCAAGTACCATTGTAGTCAGTGCTCAAGAGGATGCACAGAGCTGGGAGGGGCGACAAATGGGGGACCACAAGAGGCTTCTGCAGGGAATGGGAGTGCACGTGCCCCAGGGAGGGGGTGACCATGAAGGGGGTGTCTGCAGGTGCATACCTACCTCATCAATCTCCTTGATCCACCGGTCAATGCCATCAAAGGACCAGCGGTTGGTGATGTCATACACCAGGAGGATCCCCTGCAAGGGAGATGTGGGCATCATGAGGCTGAGGGGTTGACCAGATTGAAGGCTCTTGGACGGAAAGCCTGGGGCTGGGTAGGGATGGTACTGGCCCTCCAAGTCCCCTCCTAAAAAATTACTGCGGCTGTATCTGAAGACCAGCCCTCTCAGCATGAAACAAACTGCATGTGCAGTCAGAGGGCTACAGAGGAAGTCGAGGTGCAGACATGCCTCGCTGATAATAAAAGTAACAACAGTGCACTTCAGAGCAAACGTGCCAGCTCCAGTCAGGTGCACAACTGACAGAAGTGCAGATCCCAAATGCTATGTACAGTACGGTGTTTTAAAATGAAATATAAACATACAGCACACCACACAGAAAAGGTTTCTATGGATGTAACCACACATTGAAAGGCTGGATGGGAGCTTATTATCTTCTTGCTTATGCTTACCTATGTAATGTTGAAAAGCTCAAACTAGTGAGCAGAAGCCCATCTCTTGGGCTCAACTTCAACTGCACCCCAAGGCTGTTGGGGAGCCCTTGGTTGCTCCTCCAGGTGGCACCAGCCTCTTCCAGACATCACCTTTTTGGGGCTGCCCAAGTCTAATGGGTAGGGATTATGACAGAGGAGATCCACCAACCCCCCAAGCACAGGGAGGAAGGACACAGAGCTGGACACAGAGCTGGACACAGAGCTGGTCACAGTACAGGCAGCAGGGAGCACAGTGATCACTGTCTTGGCAGTGAAATCAAAGAGAGGGTCTTAGTTACCAGAATCACCTCCCTTAGGGAGGTCAGTTGTGCAGTTGTGTGTCTCAAACACGTGGAGGGACAAACAGATCCTCACTATACTTTTTTTAAAACAATAAAAGTAACACATGCTCACATTTTTAAAAATTGGTATTTTAGAGTATGAATAGCAGCTTTCCTTCTCCTCTACTCTCCCCACTCCTCCAGAAATAACCTATTGTTTCTGGATGTTTCTACACAGTGCTGCTCACTCCAATACAGACAGTTCACGGTGCAAACCACCCAGTCCCTACCTGGGCCTTTCCCCACAGTGGCTGCACCCCCACCAAGCTCATCAGTCAGTGCTGCTGTTGGCTTGCAGGTAATTTTGTCATATATTATTATAAATCTCTGAGCACATACAGCTTGACCTATAAGAAGTAGAACTGCTGGGCCCAGGAGTGGATGTCCTTATTGTCAAAGGTATTTATCGAGCTATAGCTTATACACCTGAAAAAGGACAGATTTTATGTATGAATGGTTTGATGAATCTGGATGAATATATGTACCTGCACAACCACAACCCCAACCAAGGTAAAGAAGTGCATTTTTAAAAAATTAAAATTAAATGTTGGCATGTGTAATGCTTTGTATGGTACAGCTCCCGAGGAACACAGGCTGCACGTGGAAGCGTCTGCCCACGCCCACAAGCACCCAGGCTCTGCCCAGAAGCAAGTGATGCACTGAAAGTGGGGAGCAACTGTCAAATGGTCCCTGGCCCATATGCCTCTCCACCTGGGCAGTGACAAGGGGAACGCTGGTGTCCTAATCAGTACTTGCTGAAAGGTAACTGCACGCTCCATTCCATTTTCCACATGAAACCCCTTTTTGTATGAATGAATCAATCATTCTCTATCCAGAAGGAGACTAGCACCTGGCCCTGCTCTCCCTGGCCCTGCTAGTCCAGATGACCCCAAGTCCTCAACTAAACAGGACAATCTGCTGCCCCCAGCTCCATTATTACGCTGAGCCCAGGGGTCCCACTGTCTCCAGCAGCAGGATGTGCCAGCCTCCCAGGGCCACAAGAGGCTACCTCAGACCTCAGCAACAGAAAATGAAGGCTATGGGTCTAGGTGGTCAGGAACAGAAACGTTACTCATGGTAAGAACAAGACAGTCCTGCTGCAGGACAGGTGACAGCAGCCAAGGGTTGGCAGTAGCTTTTGTGACCTGGGCCCTGAGGGACCCACAAGGCCTCTCTACTCTTAACCGAGGGTGGGAGAGTATCAGGAAATACAAAACTCGACTGGGAAAGATGGTCTTGCTATTCTGCATACCAAACTGGGTGGCACTTCCTCTGGATACCTAGCCTTTCAGTCTGCACTGCCACCACCAGGCAGGATGGAAATGAGACAAGGAAGAGCAATGCCACCGAGACAACAGCACCTAAGAGAAGCCTAGAGCTCAGAGTCTATTACCCACCACCCAGGCCCCAGGTGTGCAACTGGCTCCTCAAGCCCAGAATTGATAAAAAACAAAGAAACAAACAAAAAAAACCTTCCAGAATTAAAGCAAGAGCAATGACAAACACACAACTGACTGGTCTGGACATTTTGGAGAGAACATGGACATGATGACACAGTGTTTGCCTCCCCAAAACACTGTGTAATCTGGCAAATGCCCAGGCTTGTTAGGTGTCCTCAATTAGCTGAAAAGAAATGACTGCAGTCTGTTCCATGTTTATACCCAGAGCACGTGGAACCTCTCAGGTTTGATCTCAGTGCCTTCTTGATGTTGGGTTTCACAGGCAGTTCTCGCTACTTACCCTCACCTCTGATGCTGACGTGGGGTGCTGACAAACGCCCCCAAGCTATGATCCACACCCTGATTATTTAGGATCAGCTGCTCCAGGTGGAACTGCTAGGTGAACAGAACACCAGCACACACTGGGGGGAAATCAAGCTGGAGCTCCAGGTACCAACAACCATACCTCTGTGAGAACTCCCAGGATAGGAGCCACCAAGCCCAGCCAGGGGTCCTCGGCCCCCACTCAGCATCTCCCCGCCTCCCACCATGTCTGAGAACCCCCACTAAGGAAAGCCCTGGAGGAGGATGAAGGTCAGGGGTCCCCAACACCTAAGTGGCTTTAGTGAGACCCCTGCGGCAGACTTCTCTCCCTCTCTGCCTCCTGAAGTCCCATGAAGCAGAAAGAGCAGAAGTATACGGTACCCGGACAGCTGCAGATTTCATCAATCCTGACCCACAAGCAAAAAGGACAACACATGAGGCTCCCCATGAGCCCAAGCCAGAGTGAGAATGTGAAAGGAAACTCCTGCTGAGTGCAGGCCCACCTGGAACCTGTGGCCCACAAAGCCAGGGGCCCCAAAACGCACCCAAACACCCCCACTCAAATGAGTGTGTGCTGCTCCTGGTGGAGGACCCTGCCTGGGGAGGTCTGAACTGGGCAGGTCTGAACTTGCAGGCCTCCTTGGCAATTTCGAAGTCGAGGTTGAGGGGGACTGCTCTGCACTGTAGACAGGACTGGTCTTGTGTCCAGACTCCTCACGTTGACATGGCAGCGACAGCCTAGAGCTGGTTTGTTCATGCAACTACTTCTCTCCTCTCCTTCTAGCCTTGAATCATACACAGATCCACTCAGCATGCAAGCATCTTGTAGGGCCCAGAGGACATAGAAAGAGGGGCAAGCAAGCCCCTGCACACCCCTCAGGGTGGCCCCATTCCCCTGTACACCCACCCAACTTGGGTGCACTTTCATGGCAGCCCCTGGGACAGCCCCCCATCTCCTACTCCTTGCTGATGCCCTGCCTCTCTGAAGTCCTGGGACAGCCCCTCCCACAGTGGCTCCAATGCCCAGTCCCACAGACCTGATTAGGAATCCAGCCCAGTCAGCCTTGGCAGCCACCCACCCTGAGATGGACCTGGTTTCCCTGGCAGCCTCCTTGCTCCACAAGTGAAGGTCTTATGTGAGGGGGAAGTCATTTTGGTTTCTAGTGAGCCAGATGACCAAGCAGAGTTTCCACAGTACTGGGTCCCAGCACACCTCCCATAGTACCAGCCACAGAAGTCGGTGGGGACACAGAGTGGGAACAGAGAGTGGGGACATAGGGAGCTGGTACCCTCTGATGACTGAGGCCTCTAGCTCAGAGGGCGGCCTAGCGGAAGCTTGATGTCCAAACATCAAAACTTCCTTAGAAAGAGTCACACATGTAGGGTTTGACGGCACAGAAACATGAATTGTCCCTCCGGAGAGCGGCACTGGCAGTGTTGCTGGTCTTACCTGTGCGCCCCTGGAGTAGGACCTGAAGATGGTGCAGAACCTGCCCTGGCCCGATGTGTCCCTGAAACACAGGGGCGGGGGACAGGGGCGGTCAGTGGGATGCAGCCCGTGGGACTCCGGCATGTGTAACATGATCCCTCCCAGGGGCTCAGCCCAGGGCCCCCTTCCCCTCCCCTTCCACAGCTCACACTGGCCAACCTCTGTGGGCCTGGGTGCTCAGGGACACTGCCCTGCCAGGCTGGAGAAACCCAACCCTGTTAGGAATTTACTCTTGACTTCAAGGTTCTAGAAAATGCTCCTTAGAGTGTAGCAAAGGAAGAGGGAGGAGGGGCTGTGGCCACTGGAAATGAGCCTTTGTGGGCAAAGGGAGCTGGGCTTTATCAGAACAAACAGCCCTGGACCTTTTGGTTCCTGTATGACCAAACAGAATCCATACCACGTTTACACAGGACATCTTTAAACAGCTATTCCAAATGAAATGTAAATAAGACTCCTTCCTGTTCCTCTAAGGATTCTTGACACTTCATTTAGCTTTGGAGGTCCCATCAATAACTCTGAAGTGCTACAGCACCCCTGCCCCCAGACACCGCTGCCCTGCACAGCTCCTGACTCACCAGAGCTCCAGCTTGACCCGCCGGCCGTCCAACAGGATGGTAGTCGTCTTGTAGTCGATCCCTGTGAGGAAACAGAGGGTGGCTGAAGGTAAGGCCTTGCGGACAAGTCTACCAAGACCTGCCTCACCGGGGCTCAGTCTCACAGCCCAGCAAAGCTGGGTGGAGTGGCCTGCTGCCCCCAGCTGAGCCTTCTTGTGGCTCCAGTCCAGCAACACAAGCGAGCATGCTGGGCACCACAGCACAGGCCAAAGAGAGGGTGGCAGAGAAGCGGAGCCTGGCACGCCCGAAAGAGGACAGCTCATCTTCAACTGACCTACTTTGTATAGATCTCAAGTCGAACTCTCAAAGGCTAATCATATTTTCAAGTTCTTAGGTTCACCATAGCTGCCCAGTACTGACAACTGGAGCGTGCTTGGAGTATTAAGGGTAAAGTAATTTCTAAAATGCCATTTCTCTGAAGAGCTCTCTGAAAAACCTATATATGCCATAGCTTTCTTTCTTTCTTTAAAAAAAAAAAAAAAAACTTTTATGGGAAAAAGTCCAAAAGAAGTTCGTAGGCACAGGGAGTGCTAGATATGTTATCTTACATGTAAGACCTTCAACTGGTTTATGGACCTTCTGAAAACTTCTAAAAGCTCAGTGTTTTCTCCTCCTCTCTTAAGCCTTAAAAATGTCATCAGTTTCATGACTTTATATATCACTTGTTCCAAGAGGGCTTGGAAATGAGCATTTTAACACAGGTGTCACTCTCACCCAGTGTGTGTGCAAGCGCGAGCACATGTCAGAGGGCCTGCACTCCCTCAGGCGTCTGTGCCTGCATCCTGGCTGTGCTTCTGCCTGGTCAGCTCCTAACCACACATCAAAACCTGACTCCCATGCATCAAAGGACACCTGACAGAATAAAAATGCAATCCAAGAAACGGGAAAAAATATTTGGAAACCACATATCAGGAATATATATGGAAATCTTACAACTCAACAACAAAAGAACCCAATTAAAAACTGGGCAAAAGACTTGAATAGATATTTCTCTAAAGATATACAAATGACCATAAACACATGAAAAAATGCTTAACACCATTTCTCATCAAAGAAATACAAATCAAATCACAATGAGAGATCAACTAACACCTATTTAAATTATTATCAAGAAAAACAGAAAATGACAAAGGTTGGTGAGGATGTAGAGAAATCTGAACCCCTGTGTACTACTGGTAGGAGTGTAAAATAGTGCCGTTACTATAGAAAACAGTCTGGCAGTTCCTCAAAGAATTAAACACAGAATTACCATATGATCCAGAAATTCCACTTCTGAGTTTACACCCAAAAAAGTAAAAGCAGGGAATTGAACATATATGTATTTGTACACCCACGTTCATGGCGACGTTGTTCACAAAGGCAGAAACTACCCAAGTGTCCATCGAGGGATGAGTGGACTAACAAAATGGTCTATACATACAATAGAATACGATTCACCTTTAAAAGGGAATGAAATTCTGACACATGCTATAATATGGATGAACCTTGAGGACACTATGCTCAGGGAAATAAGCCAGACACAGGACAAATACTGTATGATTCCATGTGTATTATGCCCCTAGAAGAGTCAGATTCATAGAGACAGAAAATAGATTACAGTTTACAAGAGCCTGGGGGACATGGATGGGGAGTCAGCGTTTAATAAGACAGAGCTTCAGTCTGGGAAGATGGAAAAATTCTGGAGATGGATGGTGATGATGGTCTCAAAACAGTGTAAATGTACTTAATGCCTCTGACCTGTACACCTAAAAATAACTAAAATAGTAAATTTCACGTTATGTATATTTTACCACAATTTTTTTTTTAAAGTAAGAGAAAATTCTCTTGCACACATTCTCAAGTAAAAGAGCTATTCTTCAGGAAGAAACAGAACTCAGGCCTGTCTCGAATGTCCTCCTCTGCACTCGTCCTTCCCCCCAGTTCTTGTCTGCTGATAACCAGCTTCTTTGGTGGAAACTCCTGAATTCTCTATCAAACAGGAAGCACAAATTTGGCCTAGGACTCACCTCTCAGTCTTAGCTCCAGTTTCTGTGAGATGGACCCTGTGAGAGTAATTTCTAGGAAGCCTGTGGATGTGGATGCTCATCCTCTAGGCAGCAGCATCCCCTCCATGTGGCAATCAGCCCAGCAGACTTAGGCTGAGGTGACTGGACACTGTTCTGGCCCTCACCCCGAGGCTAGCTACCATGAAAGGTGCGGCCCTGCAGCCAAGCCACTGGAGGTTGCGCTGTGGCCCAAAGGCCTAGCAGGGAGCTGCAGGTAGGACAGGGCACCCAGGAAGGGCTAAGAGACAGGATACAGGGAGCAGGCTGCCGTCCTCCACTCACCTCCAGGGACGACTAGCACCTCGGCAGGGCCTTGCTTGGCCTCCTCCTATAACCAGCATCATGCGCCTCACTGACCCATCTGCCCACATTCCACTCAGGACAATATGGCGTTAACTTCAGTTTGTGTCAGAAAGGACGCGGTCCCTGCTCTCTAGCGATTCTGCTCAATGCTCTGCCAAACACATGTGTGGGATCCATGTGGACAGGCACTCAGAGCTGGGAACTGGTATCAAGGAGGAGCAGCTCTCCTCTTGATGCCCCTCCTGCTGCACGGCCCTGCCTTCCTACCACTGGGTCGGAGAGCTCGTCAAGGAACAGGATTCTTAGAGAACACTGCAAAGCAGAAGCTGGAATTCGGTGGCTGAATGATGTCACCACTGAAGTGGTTTACTCACAGACAGTGGCAACATTCTCTGGCACACTCTGGTCCCGCCCGGCCTCTAGGGACAGGTGGCCTCCATGTCTGGTGCCAGCACGGGTAACCCCAAGAAAGCTGAGCACCCCTGCGAGGAGACTGAGGAAATTGGGCAGCAGGTCCCTACTGTGGACAACAGGGTCCAGCTGAGGGTGGCTGGGGAGCCAATACGTCAAGACAGGTTCAGGGAGGAGGGGAGCACAGAGCCCCTTGGCGGACACACTCACTTGGATATTGATAAAAATTCAAACATATTCTTCATACTTACTCTGCTTCTCACATCTCAAATCTGGATAAAAACTTACAGTGAGCTTTATAAACACACAGAAAAGACATAGCAAACCCAGAAAGAACCCAGAGACACCTATAGAAGGGCAAAGTCTCCCTGCTGTAAAGATGGGCGTCAACCAAACTTCACTATGAATCAGCTGTGACAATTCTTAGGTCTAAAGACTGTTGCTGGAGAATTTCAATCACTTCCTCCCTCACTTCACACCATTAGTCCTTAAATATTGAGCAGCTCTTTGAAAAAATGATGACCAGAGGTTTCATTCAAAATATTTAACACCTTGTATAGCACAGTCATGACCATTCAGAAGAAAAATCAGCTATTGGAAGCTGGAACCTCTGCTGGTGCCCAGGGGTCAACCAGGCCTCTTGGGAACTGGAGCAGCTCACACATGGGGAGGGGCCACACAGGATGACCAGATCTTAGGCCCTAGGTCTGCGGATATACCCTGGGTGGACAAGTGTTCGGGGAGGCCACCAAGGGCCAGCGGCAGGTGACCAAAGGCGCCAGGGGAGATGAGTGTTCTGACTCCCGGTCCTTCTCATGTGTCCTTTTTACTCAGAAAGCTTCAGGGCATTTATCTGCCCAGTGTTCTGGGGGCACTTTTCGCCTTTAGGTCCCCAGTTCACTCCTCTACCCACACACTCCTCTGTCCCACATCCTGGCCTCTCATTAGCCAGTTTTCTCATCTTTTCTCCCATCTCTGTCTTTTTTTCCACTTTCTGGGAGATATCCTCAACTTTATCCTCCTGCCCTTCTATGATCTTATAAAAAATTCTGCTATTTTTAATTTAATTTCTAAAAGCTCTTTCTGGTCCTCTGGAAAGTTCCTTTCTAATAGCATCCTGTTCTTGGTTCTTGAATGCAGTATCCCTATACCTCAGACATTAGTTATAAGATTGTTAAGGTCCTCGGATGTCTTTCCTCACCTTGGGGTGACCCTTGGTTGTCCATTCACCCCTCAGAGATCCTAAAAAGCCGCAAGAAGTTCTGGGTATAACTTTGGTTTCTGAACTGGGCTTATGATGAAGCCGCCAGGTGCCTCTGGGTGTGTGGAACTTACATTTCTTGGGCTAATGACTGTTCCAGCAAAGACTGTCTGCGGCCATGGGCTCCCGAGCACCAGGAGTAGGGGGGTAGCCAGGGTCTCCCCATTTGGAATGGACTTGCACTCAGCCCTCTACTGTGCTCGATTCTCCCAAAGAGTGGACCTCCTGTGTCCCTGCTGGGGGCCCATCCAGCCATTTGGCCCCTGCCCTGATTTCAGCCTATCCCCCTCGGGCCGAGTTCAGAGGGGCCTGGGTACATGGGGTGTGGGATCCAGAGCCGTGGGGTCCCCACCAGCCCTTCACAGGCCAGGCTTCAGCTCTCTGCGCTCAGCTGTGGCAGTAGCACCTGTTTCCCACATGGTCAACCTCTCTCACCTGATGGATTCACATGTTTTTAATAATATCTTTTCTATTATTTTCATGGGGTTTCTGAAGGGAGTGGCAATTCGCTTGACATAAATCACTTTATAACTTCTGTTATACACCAGGCATTGTTCCGGGAGCTAATGGACTCATGTTGCTGCCCAGCTGCCCTGCGCCATGTTTTACAGGACTGCCACCACCTTGCAAATCACAGGAGGCCGCGTTTCATTTGTTCAGAATTTTACCAAGAATTGTTCACCATTTTAGAAGAAAAACCACATCACCCATAGTGACACCTATACTAGGTACATTTTTTTCTTTTGTGAAAATTTGAATATTTAATAAAAAATTGAAAATAAATCAACAAAAGCTACATGTATCCACATAGATAAATGTTTAAAAATATAATGTTTAGTAAGCAATAAAAGTCCCAGAATGATATATCCACTTTGGTACCATTTACCAGGAACACTTTTACTGTCACCTCAGTATCTAGTACAATTGTACCCAAGCACTGATTTTCTGGAATATAAACGATCTTACAATGCCTTGCACTCCCCCTTCTTTCTCCTTTATATT